GATTCCACGACAAATCGGCCACATTATAGGCCAGTCGAATCGCCCGCGTCTGAGACGGATCTGTTCGAGCGATAGTGTAGGCGCAAATATAGGCAACGCTTTGTGGCAGTGCACACACCACATAGACACAGGACACAATCAATAAGACAACACAAGCCCGGACACTCTGTTTTGCCTGATTTGTCCAAACCGCTTCACTCTGCTTCTGTTTCGCGAGACGTCGAATGATTGAGAATATAATAATATTGATTACTGTGATAGCCAACGGTTGGAGAACAGCGGCATTAGAGATCAGTGTGTGGTAGTACTCCATATACTTATAGGGTTCTGGGTACCAGCAATTAATCCTGCCCCCTATCCGTGTCCACCTGATCAAAGCGGTTGCCGGGAAAAGCATGAATAGACTGATAAATAGCGTGAACAGAACTGCATACCAACCGTATCGTCGGGGAATATTGGAAAATTCCATAGGAAAGCAAACACTCAGTAGCCGATCAATACTGGCTAACAGTAACAGGTTACAACTCGTGGTGCTTGTAAACGAATAGGCAAATCGGTGAATGGAGCAAGCGATCGGAGAGGCGTAGAACGTGAACAAGTAGGTTTTTCCATTTGTGGCAAACGGTAAACCCTTGGCCGGGAACATCCAGAACCAACCAAATAGTACACTGGTTGCTGCATTTGAGGCAAACATACAGAACATGTAGATGAGTTGTCGTGTGACCAAATGCTTGCTAAGAATGGCGATGACCATGAAGAACACAGTTCCGATCAAACTTAGACCACAGACGAACGGTAGAATGTATGCGGACCACACACCCAGAATGGTGGACATGACGCAACCGATTCTTGACACGTTTGTCCAACCAACTTTCAAACCCTCACATTCCCACGTCAAATCCCATGGAGTATCGACAAACCTCCAGTGCTCGGGAGTTTGCATTGGGCTTTTGGTTCCTTAGCAAATAATATGAATTTCCATAACGGATAATTTGTACACACGTTAAAGCTGAAAACTACGGCACGCTGTGGATGAAACTCAGTTTCCCGAGGTCCTTAAGCAGTCTGTCTGATTTTTTCTCTCCAATGGACAAACAGGTGTGTTTGTAATACGCGCGCGCGCACAGGTGACGATACTCGTGCACCCCGGATTGGTGTTTTTCTGTTTGTGTGTGTGTGCCTGTATGCGTTAGCATGGTGGCGGGCTCACGCGGATATCGGTACGAATCGGCTTTTGACCAACGAGTGACAGTGGAATAAAATAAAATGGTGCCGATGACAAACCAGAGTATGATAAAAGCTCACAATGCTAGTGAGGCAGGCAACCGCATGAAAAAGACGGCTATCGTTCAATTCGTTAGAACCGAGAAAAGACAACTACGGCGTGATGTTAACATTTTTAAAAATCTCTTCTGATGAAGACTGTTCGATCGTGTCGGGAATATTTCCCCCCTGACACTGTTCCGTTAGTGTTCGGAAGGGTAGCAACACCAAAAGGTGTTTGTTCATAATTTCCGCGTGTGCACCAATCGACTGCAGTCCCGCACCCCAAAAGGACGAATTTTACGGCGAACTCACCGAACTGATTCGCTTGAGCCGCAACTCTGATATTATAGTGCTGGCAGGTGACTTTAACGCGCAGGTTGGAAAACTGAGCGCATCCAAAGCCTGTCTAGGGGAGCACTTCGCCCTCCCCGCCCAGCGAACAGACAACGGTCACCGACTACTTCAATTCTGCGTGGATCACCGGCTGTGCTTATCAGCTCTCGTCGAACGGCTACACGGTGTTCTAGTTCAACGGGTACATTGACCCAAATTGACCTCGTAGCTGTAAGCTACCGTTGGTGTGGTTCTGTACAAAATTGCAGATCCTATTGGTCCACCTGCATCGAGTCGGATCATGCACTAGTTCTGCTACGCTCCGCTCTTCGACTCATTGGCCATCGGCAGAAATCGCCTCCTCAATTAGCTCACCATCGTCTGCGCGATATAGCAGTCTGCGTACGTTATGAGGAGAACCTGGGACAGAAGCTAGGAGAACCGAGACATAGTGGAATAGACCAACAGTTGAATCAGATTAGATTTGTGATGCATTCAGTAGCAAACTTCGCTTGTGGGACTGAGTCCGGAGTTCCCCGGAGGCACTGGATCTCTAAGGAGTCAGTAATCCTAATGGATCAAAAGCGAGAGATCCCAATCTGCCAGGATCAGCATAAGGACCGGTGTCGCCTGCAACAT